GTTTTGTAATTCTAATGGTATTAGCCATAATTTTTCAGCACCTAGAACCCCTCAACAAAATAGAGTTGTTGAGAGGAAAAATCGAACTTTAGAAGAAATGGCTAGAACCATGCTTTGTGAAAATAATTTGCCAAAATATTTTTTGGGCGGAAGCCACAAATACCGCTTGTTATGTTGTAAATCGAGTAATGATTAGGCCAATTTTAAAGAAAAACTCCATATGAAATTTTCAAAAATAAAAAGCCTAACATTAGCTATTTTCATCCTTTTGGATGTAAATGTTTTGTTTTGAACAACGGTAAAGAAAACCTTGGCAAATTTGATGCTAAAAGTGATGAAGGAGTTTTTCTGGGTTATTTTTTAAATTCTAAAGCTTAATGAGTATTTAATAAAAACACTTTAGTTGTAGAAGAGTCTATACATGTTGTTTTCGATGATAATCTCCTTCTGAGGAAGGATTCTTGTGTTAATGATGATGTAGGTATTATAAATACAAATGACGTTAGACATGACGTTGGAGAATCATCATCAAAGGAAGAAACGAAAGATGAGGAAACTCATGATCCTCTCGAGAATCCAACCATTGAAGAAAGGGAAGTATCTTATCCAAGAGAGTACAACTATGTCAAGGATGGTGAGATTATAGGTGATCCATCCAAAGGGGTAACAACTCGATCTTCTCTTAAAAATATTTGTAATTATGTTGCATTTATTTCATGCATAGAGCCTAAGAATATTAAAGAAGCATTAAATGATGAACATTGGATTATGGCTATGCAAGAAGAGTTAAATCAATTTGAGAGAAGTAAAGTATAGACATTAGTTGAAAGGCCTAGTAATAAATCTACTGTAGGTACTAGATGGGTATTTAGGAATAAGCTTGATGAGAGTGGTAATATAGTGAGAAACAAGGCTAGACTTGTTGCTCAAGGGTATACTCAAGAAGAGGGCATAGACTATGATGAAACATACGCTCCCGTAGCTAGGATGGAAGCAATTAGAATGTTATTAGCATTTGCATGTTTTCATGAATTTAAATTATATCAAATGGATGTTAAAAGTGCATTTTTAAATGGTTTTATAAAATAAGAAGTGTATGTGGAACAACCTCCGGGTTTTGAAGATTCAAAATTCCCGGATCATGTTCTTAAATTGACAAAAGCACTTTATGGTTTAAAACAAACTTCTAGAGCTTGGTATGAAAGATTGTCAAACTTTTTAATTGAAAAATATTTTTCAAAAGGGAAGGTTGACACTACATTGTTTTTAAAGCATAAAGGTAAAGATTTATTAGTAGTTCAGATTTATTAGTAGTTCAGATTTATGTTGATGATATAATATTTGGTTCTACTAATGATGTTCTTTGCCAAGAATTTTCTAAGCTAATGCAAAGCGAATTCGAAATGAGCATGATGGGGGAGCTCTCATTTTTCTTGGGACTCCAAATCAAGCAAAAAAAAGATGACATCTTCATCAATCAAGCTAAGTACGTCAAAGATATGCTCAATAAATTTGGACTGGAAAATGGCAAGCCTCATGACACTCCAATGAGCTCTTCAACAAAGCTTGACTTAAATGAAGGAGGTAAATGTGTAGATGTTAAATTATATAGGTCAATGATTGGATCTTTACTTTATCTAACTGCAAGTAGACCAGACATTATATTTAGTGTCTGCTTATGTGCTAGATTTCAATCATGCCCTAAAGAATCACATTTACTAGCTGTTAAGAGAATCTTTAGATACCTTAAGGACACTCCTAGTTTAGGACTTTGGTATCCTCGAGACTCTAGCTTTAGCTTGTATGCTTTTTCTGATGCGGATTATGGAGGATGCAAATTAGATAGGAAAAGCACCTCCGGTACTTGCCAATTCCTTGGAAATATGTTGATTTCTTGGTTTTCAAAGAAACAAAATTGTGTTGCATTATCTACCACTGAAGCGGAATACATTTCAGCTGGTAGTTGTTATGCACAAGTTTTATGGATGAAACAACAAATTTTTGATTATGGAGTTGAAGTAGGTACTATTCCTATTAAGTGTTACAATACTAGTTCTATTTGTCTCACTAAAAATCCCATCCAACACTCTAGAACTAAGCACATTGAAATTAGACATCACTTCATTAGAGACCATGTCGCTAAGGAAGATGTAGTTCTAGAATTTGTTGATACTTTGCACCAATTAGCGGATATTTTTACTAAACCATGTCCAATCCAAAACGTGCAAGGTTATCATCTAGTCGCTCAAACCGTCAATCCAATCCACCTCCAAATCCTTCACCTATCCCTCCAATTCCTAATCCTAATCACATTGATCCAAATTTGACTATCCAAAACTTGTGCTTCAATCATCCTGGTCCTAGAAATCATCGTTTTTGGTATTATCAATATTTTGACTCTTACAAAATCAGGGAAGAACGTATCCCATCTCTTCAGGCTATGATTGATATCAATTTTAGATATCTTCATCTCCTACGAGAGTGGAAATTTGATAAACTTTGTAACCTTGAACCTCAAGTTTTTCATCAACTTGTTCGTATCTTTTATTCTAATGTCGTGTGTATTAAAAATCAAGCTGAAACCAAAACAATAGCAGTTCGTTCTTATCTTCTAGGACAATACTTTCATCTTGATTCAGCTTACATTGCTAATACATTAGGATTAAATAATGATGGTTTATCTAATGAAAAACAAATTTTAGGTTCTCATTATAAAAGAAGGGATAATGCGAGTGTCTTAGATCTTCATGACCGTTTTCTTCATCTAATGATCACTTGGTGGTTTCGACCATCCGGAGGTCGTTACTATACTCTTCGTGCTTTAGATATTTTGTGGTTACATTGTTTCCAAAATAATCTTAAAATAAATCTTCTTGAGATTATTTTTGCTGAAATTGTTGAAACCGTAAACCAAGTTCCAAATAAGAAACTTTGTTCTTCTCTAGTTTACGGTTGTATTCTTAGTAATATCTTTTCTATAGCCGGGCTTAGAGTTGGTCTTGATGCCTCTTTTCCCCTAAAGAAACAAATCAATCTCCTTTCCTTAACGAGATCGGGATGGATTAAGGATAAACAAAGTGGTGAATGGGTTCGAAGCACTGAGAATACTCCAGGAGCTAGTTCTTCACAAGCTCCACCGGTAGCTGACGACGATCCTGATCTTGAACAATTAATGCGAGATATCGATGAAGCCGAAGATGAGCCTGAGCAGCTCGAGGAGAAAGCACAACAAACGAATCAAATGCCTCCATATTTTCAATCTTTTATGGAGACATTCGATTTCTGATATGCTACCATAGATTCGCGTTTTACTTCTATAGAGTCTCATTTATCCACAATGGGAGCTCAACAATTGGAAATTCTCCGGGAGATGCGCACAAACAACTCTTCTATGAATGAACTCATTGATGAACTCTCACATGAGATGGCCACTATGCGAGCTCATTTTCCTCCTCCCGATCCTCCTACGGATGCTTGATTTTGTGTTTTGCTTTAGTACTTTGAACTTAAAGCTTATTGTTTAAACATTTTGAATGTTTTTGGATTGTTTTACTTTTGTTGTTGGATATTTGAAATTATTTGATGGATTATGGATGTTTGAACTTATATTTCTATATATTTGGTTTGGTTAAACTTATTCATTATTGCATCATTTTCATCATGTTAGATATATGACCAATTTTGCCATATCACATTGTTTATGAATATTGATTATGAAACTAATGGCTAACGTTTCTCTTGATTATGTTCTTAGCAGCTTAAGCTATATTTATAATCAATTTTCAAAACATTGTTTAAATTCTTTTAAAATGATTTTTTGATTTAACAAAAAGGGGGAGAAGTGTTAAATGTTTTAAAGGAGAGAAGTGTTAAAGTAAGGGGAGTAGTATTTTTCAAAATCAAAATTCATTTTGAAATTAGAAAATCTTAAAATGTTTTGTTATATCAAAAAGGGGGAGATTGTTGAAAACATTTTGATGTTTCGATATAATAAATTAAATTAAAAGAATTTTAATTTTGAAAATGATTTTTCTAAGCATATTCGATATATTAAATCGAATATCAAAATATTACTCAAAGTATTTCAAAGTTCATTTTTAAATCCTTACTAAAGTGTAAAATTAAGTTTTAATCTTAAAATAATTTCAAAACAATTTTACAAAGTATTTCGAACCGTTTCAAAGCCAAAAATTACAGTTTTTCCAGAGGGAAGCGATTCCCCCTGAATGGTTTGGCTCCGAGAAATTCCAGTATGCTCGGAGGGAACCGATTCCCCCCAGGGGTATCGATTCCCCCCACTGTTCAACGGTCGAATATTTGAATTTTACACTTAGGGAACCAGTTCCCCATGAGGAGGTACCGATTCCCCATGCTCCAAGCAGAAATATTAATTGTTTTCACACTTAAACGGCTCCAATAACTTTATTAATGATCCCCAATGTTCAAAAATGATTCAAGGTGTATTTAAGCAAGCTTAGAAGCCATTGATCAATAACAAGAAATATCAAGCAACTAGAATCAAGAGAGAATCAAAGAGAAAGCATCAAACCTCAAGTTTGAGCATTTCAAGCGTATTTTTCATTCAATATTCATTTTGCTTTCAAGAACACTTATTGTGCTCAATTATATTTATTCTTGAGTGTTATTTCTTTGTTCTAAAATTGTGTAAACATTTTACCTTGTGAGGTTTTTCTTGTAAGTTTGCGAAATTTGTAATCTTCTCTTCGAGAAAGAGTGTTCTCAAGAATTGGGGTATAATTCTTGAGGGTGTTATAAGGTTATCTCTTTGACCTCAAAATAAAGAACAAATTAGTGAATTTGTTGGAAAATCCTGAGTGTGGATAGCTAAGGTAGTGGACGTAGACTTTGATTGAGAAAGTCAAACCACTCTAAATCGCTGTGCAATTAATTTCAATTTTCTGCAAAAGCTTCCACAAAATTTTAATTGTCAATTCACTCCCCTCTTGGCCGATTCCGTCAATCGATTAACTCAACAATATCTTTAAACATATTGATTGTAGAAGGATCTCTAACTCATCCGATGGGTGGATGAAACTCGGAGGTTTGAATTCAAGTAAACTTCTCTTCAATGAAGAGGTCATCATCTTAGATTTCTGACACCGTTCTGCAAAACTAGATTGTTTGTGATTTCCAACATGGATGATGGCCATGCATATGCCCCTGCACTAGAAGAAGACATCAATACAAACCACGCACCCTCTTCGGAACCCGAAACAATCTTTAACAAATGGTCTCCTCCAAGTTACTTATGGAGAGGATTATCTGTTCTTGTCCTTGCCGGACAGGTTATTATTCGGATTCTGAAGGGTAAAGTCCACTGGAGGAATGCCCTCCAACAACTGGAGAGAGTTGGACCTAAATCAGTCAGGGTTTGTCTTCTAACCGCGGCATTCGTTGGCATGGCCTTCACTATTCAATTTGTTAGAGAATTTACCCGATTGGGTTTGAACCGATCAGTTGGTGGTGTCTTGTCCTTAGCATTCTCGAGGGAACTAAGTCATGTGGTAACATTTATCGGGCGTATTGGAAGTGTATTTGCTGCAGAACTAGGAACAATGCAGGTCTCTGAGCAAACAGAAACACTGAGGGTGCGTTTGGTTCACAGAATGTAAGATTACTAATGGGGAATAAAAGATTAACAGAGAATGTTGTATTTTGTGTTTGGTTGGTTTAACAGGAATGTAAGATTACCGTATTTGGTTAAAGGAATAAAAGATTATTGGAATGTATATTTGACCAAATTGTCCTTATTATATATTTGTTTTTTTAACAAGTTGGAAAATATTTATATATTTTCTTTAAAAAATTTAAATTCATAAAATTTATATAATTTTTTACAAATTTGAAAATATAAAAAATATTTAATGAAAGGGTAAAATTTTATTTTAACCCTCGAACTTCATATAAAATTTTAATTATAGATTTTTTTTGTAAATCTAAAATAGTTTAAGGATAAATTTATAATTTAACCTTTGTAAAATTTTTATTATTCAATGACAAAATAAGGATATTTTTTAAAGAAAAAAAAATTAAGGGCATTTTAGTCCAAAACACCGGTAATCTAACAATACCTAAGGAAAGGAAGGTAATGACATTCCCGGTAATATACCCCAAAAAATCCACTATTAGTAATGTAAGATTACCGAGAATGACATTCCTGGCCAACCAAACGGGGGAATGTGGATTTCATTCCCATGAGAATCTTACATTCCCCCAACCATACATACCCTGAGAGTTCTTGGATCAAACCCTGTTGATTATTTGGTAACACCTAGAGTTATTGCTTCCTCTTTAGCTTTACCTTTCTTGACTCTGATGTGTTTCACAGTAGGGATGGCATCAAGTGCCATACTGGCCGATAGTGTTTATGGGATTTGCATTAATATAATCTTAGATTCGGCTCAAAGGGCTCTTCGAGCATGGGATATAATTAGTGCAATGATTAAGTCTCAGCTTTTTGGCATGATAATATCTATTGTCAGCTGTGCTTGGGGGGTAACCACCATGGGAGGAGCCAAAGGTGTGGGCGAGTCAACAACATCAGCTGTGGTTATTTCTCTTGTTGGTATTTTCATGGCTGATTTCGCACTATCATATTGCTTCTTCCAAGGAGCAGGAAATTCATTGAAGGACTGTGTATAACCAGGCCGGCCTCTTTGTCAGCATCAAAATCTTCATAGCTTCTTTGCTGTTGTTTAATGGATGGAACCTACCGAGACATATAACGCTAAGTGAATCATAGGCTCTTTATAAGTCGTGCAATCTTTGGCTAGTTTGTCCCTCTGTGGTATGTTACCCGGTCTTAGGTGTGAGTATCGGATCTGAGCATGCATCCGACATGGTAGGTTCAATTGTTTTTGATGTTTTCTTTCATGTAGTGGAGGGTCCTTGGAAAGTTTATATTTTCTACTTTTATCTGGGTATATGTCGGATATGGATACTTCAAATGAAAATTGAGCGTAGGAGCAGTAGTGTTTGACTGCTGAAATCCTAAGTGGTACACATTCGTAAACAATGGTACTCTCAAATTTAATTAAACTTTATAGAAGAAATGGAAAAGAAAAATATTCATAGGTGGGATTTGAAGTTTCCATAAATAGAAGCTGCCTTACCATAGATTACTCTCTTGATTTTAGCGTCCTCCCTTTCTTATATCTTAATTCACTTCCATTCTTTCTTATATCACATGCAATCTCCATATAGTTTCCCAATTCAGTTTTATTTTTGTTTTTACCTGGAGGTAAAAAAATATAGAGAAAGTCACCAACGCTGTTATTGTTTCTATTGTTTTTTTGCTTTATGTTGCTTTGCTTGTATTATTCAGCTCAAACTTATGTTAACCGTGGAGTCCCCATGTTAGTTCGAAGCAAAGTTTCCCAGAATTTTCCCACCCTGGAAAATAAGTTTCAGGGCCAGAAAATTGTTGGGGAAAGAGGGAATCCATGTTCAGGTTAATACACATATGTTCATCATCTTCCAAGTAGATTCAGCTGAATTTGATAAGAGATTGTAAAATGCTTAGCGAATAGTGCGATGTGTGCTCATCAATGTTGAATTCAGGGTTTGGTCCTAAGATTCAAACCCCACCAGGTGTTTTATTTTATATGAGTTGGTTTGAAAAGAACCATTTCTCGGTTTTGTAGATTTATTACTGTTGATTTAGTCGTATTATGTTTATTTTTGTGTATGATCTTATTATTTGGTCACAAAAATAAATATTGTGAGGGATAATAAATCTGATTACTTTGCTGGGATTTGCAAGATAAAAAATGGTGAGGAAATTTACTGTGATTTGAATTTGTAAAAACAACGGTTTGCAATGGAAAGGGTTGGTTGGTAGCGGGTTTCGTTGAAAGTGGGTGGTTCACCAATGATGATGAGGGTCGACGATAACAGTAAAAGATTTTAGATTAGAAATTTTGAAGGTATGTACCGCCCTAAATTCAATGTATTAACACTATGCTTAAAGTTTCACATTTGACCCAAGAGTGACCTAAATATCCATAAAATAAAAATTTCGTTAACTTAAAACCTAAAAAAAACATTTAAGATAAAATACAAAACATTTGACAGTTGAAATTGTTAGTATACAAAATGTGGAGCTCCAACTCTTTTATGATCCATAAAATATATAAAGCAGTTCAAAATATATAATCAGACATCAGACTAAATACATATATACAACCCCAAGTATACATGATATGTACATGCCCTATGATAAAATTTAGAACTGTACTCTGGTAGTTGAGATGTTGGAATTCTTCAGTGATGGTGATCCTTGGATCTATTATCAGCTATCGAAATCCTGAAAATGGTAACCAACTAAAGTGTGGGCTACAAGAGCCCAATTATAACACACATAACCCATATAATTATACCTATACAGATTATAGACGTCACCTGAATTTCTAAAAAAAATTCCAATTCAAAAGTGATTGAAAATTTATTTTCTTAAAATAGTACTGATAATATAAAAATACCATATCACATCAAACTATCACATACTATTTAAAACATATATTAATATGGATTTATGCTATCCATATTGAAACAGAGTAAAAAAGTTTAGTTTGTCATTACAAACCAGTTGCAAAATAATTTAACAGGGCAATTAGGACATTGATAAGTACATGCCACTAACTAAGTCAAAATCGCATCATAGGATGTCTTATTGATATTGTAGTGTATTCCTGGATGCTCGGAGTGTCCTGTACTCTTTACTCTATTCTTGGCTTTTTACCTACGCATGAAAATCATCACACACTAAGTATATACTTAGTGAGGCAATTAAAAACAATAAACAGTGCAATACAACTTATGCATGAAATTTAATGTGATAAACAAATGCCATAAGATCATGTTACATGCATATCCAATATTTTACCATGATCAAAATAATATAACTGAATAAAAAATTTCTTACCAATATACTTTCCATTTATTCGATAAGCTCGTAAGCTTATTTGCATGATTACCATTTATTAACCAATAAACCATAAACCATAAACAATAGCCCAATATAAAACCCTGAGGACCCTGGGTATTCGAGTAAAATACCTGCACCGTAGTGCTAAACATGCACTAAGCTTATGTCATAGTGCTAATCCGGATATGACACATAAGGTAGTATCCATCTTCCAGCACTTAGTGCCCTTACACACTATAGTGCTATTATAAACCTACAATTGCTATACTCTATGGCATGCCAATTATAATCTGTCCCTCAATGACTTAACCTTAGGCAGTTCATACCCGAAATAACATTCATAGTAAAATAGCACATTATCCCTGATCAATGCATTATAATTTCACAATGTGGCATATCAATGTCATATTGAAGTTATAAAAATAACATAATATCATGCTGATATAAACAAGGTCGACTTATTGCAAGTCTTCCTGATGATGTATAAAACATCTATGTACATGATATATAAAACATCTATGTACATTATCATGAATGTATTGCACTCACCTTGACACTTTATATATTCCAAAATATGTGCCTCACTATGATTCACAATAAACCCTTTTATACTTGACTTGCTTCTATCACAAATTAATTACGATCTGTATAAATCACAAATTCATAACGATACATATGTTAGTATTGTACTAACATAAACACATCCCAAAACAACATCCATAATATACTTGAAGCTTATTTTCTACCAAAATATTTAACACTTAATAATTCCTTTTAACATTGGCACCAACTTTTTCAATTTACACAAAATGGTCCTTCACCATTTTATCACTTACATTCTTAATACCAAAAATTCCAACATTGAAATTATTATCATTCAAATGCTTTTACAAAGGTACAATTACATTTAAGTACCCCAACTATGCGAATGTTGTACTTAAATCACAAATCTTTTCAAACTTCCAAAATAGTCATATTTCACATCTAAACACTCGTTTAAATTCCAAAGCAACACTTTTCCAGCATAGTGCATCAACTATTAAACAATTATACAACCATTCACAACTTTTCCAAAATTACCGAATTGGTTCCCCAATTTTTCAAAAATTATAAAATGGTCCTCGAATTTTTTTAAGGCTTGTAGTAAACTTCCTACGTCATTTCCAGACCTTATATAAATTTTCCATAATTTTTCACTCAAATACATCATAGTCGAATTCTTTATCCTTTAAAAACTATATTTTCATGATTTTGCTCGATTTTGATTCAATTCAAGCATGAAATCAACTTTCAATCAACCTTATAACATCTCTACAATCAAATCCCTAATAAAATCCCATCAGAAGACAAAGTTCTACAATTTCCTCTTTTGGTCGAATTTTAAAGAATAATTTCTAGAAAGATTGAACATGTTTTAACTATCAATCAATCTTGAAAATGAATCTACAACCCCTAAATCATCAAGATTTATCATCAATTTCATGAATCCTGTCATGAACATAAACCCTTAGATTTGGGCTCTTTGAATTCCAACAAGATTAGAAAGAAATATTGGTACCAAATGATAACGTTTTTCACATAGATCACTTATCTATTTCACGACATAACTCGAATTCCAGAAGAATTGGCTCAAAAATTGAAAACAAAATGTTTTCTTACCTTTGGGAGGAGCTCACGTCTTTGTTGGAGAAGGTGAAGAAATTTATATGATAATTCTTCATCTTTCTTTATTAATAATGAATAAAAAATTCATTAAATGTTAAATTACCACTTTACCCTTGAAATTAAAATATATATACTAACTTACCCAAAATGAACTTGATATTGACATTTATACCATGCCACAACAACCTTATCATCTTCCAAAGTCAAAGATGAACAAAATATTTTCCCACTTTACCATTTTGCCCTTGTAATTTCCAAAACTTATAATTCTGTCACTTTAATCCAACTGTCCAAATTAAACATGGAATTAAACCTTTAAATATTATTTTCCAACATTTAAAAATGTGAAAATAATATATTTATTTCCTTATTTTCGAGACCAATTGCAACTTTTTAAAACTACCATTTTGGTCTCTAAACTTTTTAAAATTTATACTTTAGTCACCAAACTTTACAAAATCTTATAATTTGGTCACTCACTAAATCCATTTATGGAATAACATTTTTTTTGGGAAAATTACCACTTAATTCCTTAAACTTTTCCCAATTTTCTACTTTGACCATCAAACTTTCAAACTCTGCATTTTGATCATTATTTAAATTTTTGGGGTATTACAATTCTCCCATCTTTAAATAAAATCCGTCCTCGAATTTTAAGACTTTCTATGAAAACCCTAACTCTCTTTTTATAAGGATTATCTTAATTTAGGGTTGTATGGACTGGTAAGGCGTGCCCATGCCTTGACTGTAGAATTCTTCTACGATAGCTCAGGATAAATAAGTCGTGCCCACGCCTTATGCGAAAACTTCTTCTGGTCTTGCAAACTTCTTGAATTCATATTTTTTTTCTCCTTAATTTGGGGATTTTGAGAAGATCATGCTAATCATTAGATTTTGAACTTGTTTAATCCAAATCTTCAACCTGACATGAAAAGGTGTGAATATTATTTCTTCATATAATCCTCTTTTTCCTAAGTAACGTCCTTGACTTTATGATTTTTGCCAAAGTACTTTGACTAGAGGAATCATCATGTTACGTAGTTCTTTGATTTCTCGAACTAAGATCCGTATGGATTTTTCTTCATAAGTCAAATCTAATCGGATCTCAATTTTCTCTGATGAAATGATATGTGAAAGATCCAATCGATACTTTCTAAGTATCGACACATGAAAAACATTGTGAACTTTGACTAACTTCGGATCTCAATTACCTCCGGAGTTAATGCTAACTGATAAGCCATCAGTCCAACTCTTTTTAATATCTCATAAGGTCCAATGAATCTTAGACTTAGTTTTCCTTTGATCCCAAAACACAAATCTTTTTCCAAGGCGATACTTTAAGAAAAACTTTATCGCCTTCATGAAATTCAATCTCTTTTCGCTTCAAGTCTGCATAAGACTTTTGCCGATCAAATGCCATTTTGAGATTATCTTGAATTATCTTTACTTTATGCTCAACCTCTTTCAATAAATCTGGGTCAACAAGATTCTGATATTTTAACTCGAACCAATTTAATGGTGTTCGACATTTTCTCCCATATAAAGCTTTATATGGAGCCATCTTGATGCTCAATTGATAATTGTTATTGTAGATAAATTCTTATAGAGACAAATAATTTTCTTTTCCCATGATTCCTTGAACTCAATCACACATGCTCTAAGCATATCTTCTAATATCTGAATAGTACTTTCTGAATTACCATCCGTCTGTGGATGAAAGGTCATACTGAAATTCAATCGAGTACCCAAATCTTTATACAAAGAATTCCAAAATCTTAAAGTGAACCTTGGATCCCTGTCGGGTATAATGGATACTTTCACTCCCTGTAGTCAAACTATCTCCTTGATATAAAACTCTATATATTTATCCGATGCATAGTCCATTCGCATCGAAATGAAATATGTCGATTTAATTAACTGGTCACTATCACCCAAATGGAATCCTTTTTATTTGATGTCAAAGGTAGTCCAGTAACAAAATCCATAGTGACTCTTTACCACATCTACTCTGGAATATAAATCAGTTGCAACAATTCCGAAAGCACTTGATGCTCAATTTTTACTTGTTGACATGTCAAACATGTAGCAACAAACTCAGTAATATTTCTTTTCATACCCGGCCACCAAAATGACTATTTACAACCTTATACATTTTGTTCCCACCTGGATACATAGTCAGTGGACTATAATGTGCCTCAGAAAGAATATCTTTCTTCAACTCATCATCATGAGGAATACAAATTCTTCCTCAATAAAATAGGCACCCATCAGACTTGACTTCAAAGTCTTTAGTCTCACATTTTTCACAAGTGAAACATTTTTTGAAGTATCTCTCATTTTTTTTTCTTTTTTCTTTTTTTTTTCTTCTTTCTTTTTTAGCTCTCATGCCTTCTGCCGAGACAACATGACCAAGAAAAGTAACTTTTGATAGCCAAAACTCACACTTTGACAGTTTGGCATATAACTTTTTATCCTTAATTATTTCGAGCACAGTACGAAGATGAACACCATGTTCTATCTTTGTATTCAAGTATACCAGAATGTCATTAATACAGACCACCTCAAATTAATCCAAGTAAAATTCAAATACTCGATTCATCAAATCCGTGAATGATGCCAGAGCATTTTTTAAATCAAACGGCATTACTACGAACTCGTAGTGTCTATACCGTGTTCTGAAAACTATCTTTGGAACATCTTCCTCTTTAATCTTTAACTGGTGATATCCTATTCGAAGAACAATTTTTTTAGAGAAAATTGATGCTCCTTTTAAGCTAATCAAACAAGTCATCAATCCTCAATCTAGTAGTTCTTGTAATTGGTTCTTTATTCTCTTGACTCAATTGCAACTATTCGATACGAACTCATAAATACAAGATTAATGCCTTGATAACCATTAATATTGAATTCCACCTTTCAATCTGGAGGTAACCCAAATAATAAATCTAAAAACACATATGGAAATTCCCGAGTTATGGAAATATCATATGATCTTACTTCAGATACTTGAGTATCTATCACCTTAGCTAGAAAAGCTATGCATCCTTCATACATCATCTTAATCATAACCATTGTTGATATCACCTTAGTGATGATTTCACTTTTTCATCAATGATTAAAAATTTTAATTTCTTTACATTTTTCTAAACTAATTGCTTCTTGAGACCATTAACCCAACCTTAATGCAGAGACAACCAACTCATGATCAAAATGATCTAAAACTTGTAAATGATAATCCCATAAGATTCACCGGTAACATAAGCTCCTGAATCTTTATCGGACATTTATTATTTATCCATAGGTCTTTTGTCATAATAACACTTTTTATCAAATTGAATCGAATATCTCTACTTTACAATTCCTTATTTCATTATTAAGGAAATCTGTATAACTTTTCCAGATCCAAAGATAATATTTTCAAACAGTTGAAACATTTTCCATCTCAAATGAAAGTCTAAATGTGCACATCGTTCAATAAGAAAACTTGATAAATTTGTAGCAATAACTTCATAGCAGTTAATGTTAAAATCACACTATCAAGAAAATTTACTCTTTTTCCTCTCACTACAAACTTGAAACTTTTCTAGTTCTTGAGAATCAATCTCGATCTATACAATAATTCATTGTGGCATGGAATGATTAAACAATCCATTTCACAAATTTACCTCACAAGGTAACTCTATCCAATTTTATGGACTTGATATCTATTGTCAATTCAACTCATAATCATTTGATTCACTAATAACTGAGCTTTCTGTAAACTTTTAGCGGAAATCATATTTATCGCTTACTCAATCAACAATGCTTTAAACAATTTAATGCTTAACTTAAATATTTCTAAATTATTTAAGCTTACTTGGAGGAACCTCAAAATCATCACTAAATTCAGAAATCTCCTCTGGATCCTCATCCGATTCTACTTTTCTTATAAGCCATTCAAACTTTTTAATCGATTCTTCTAATTCAGAAACTTCATTGAAAGCTGGTGCATTTCTTCCACAAAATGGAGGAAAATCCCTAACATCACTCACCCTTTTAAGGTATTTTACAGAAGTCATGTCGGGTCCCTTTGTTTCGATTTCAATCTCAACCTTCTTTTCAACATTTTCAACTTTCTTATGTTAGTTTCTAACATTTGAACATAGTCAAAATCATCTTACATTAGTAAAGAGTAACTTTACTGCCAATAAGCATCATCACTGTATATATACAACTATTAGTAACTTTTGACATCCTAGTGGCATGTATACACTTTTTAACTAAAAACAAACTCGGCTTAGTCCTAGAATCGGCTAAACCTGTAGCTCTGATGCCAATAAATGTAACACCCATAACTCGTATTATTATACCTATACAGATTATAGATGTCACCTAAATTTCTAAAAAAAATCCAATTCAAAAGTGATTGAAAATTTATTTTCTTAAAATGGTACTGATAATATAAAAATACCATATCACATCAAACTATCACATACTATTTAAAACATATATTAATATGGATTTATGCTATCCATATTGAAACAAAGTAAAACAATTTAGTTTAGTCATTACAAACCAGTTGCAAAATAATTTAACAGGGCAACTAGGACATTGATAAGTACATGCCACTAAGTCAAAATCACATCATAGGATGTCTTACTGTTATTGTAGTGTTTTCCTTGATGCTCGGAGTGTCATGTACTCATTACTCTATTCTTAGCTTTTTACCTACACGTGAAAATCATCACACGCTAAGTATATACTTAATGAGGCAATTAAAAACAATAAACAGTGCAATACAACTCATGCATGAAATTTAATGTCATAAACAAATGCCATAAAATCATGTTACCTGCATATCCAATATTTTACTATGATCAAAATAATATAACTGAATATAAAATTTCTTACCAATATACTTGTCATTTATTCCATAAAATCGTAAGCTTATTTGCATGTTTACCATTTATTAACAAATAAACCATAAACCATAAACAATATCCCAATATAAAACCCTGAGGACCCTGGGTATTCGAGTAAAATACGTGCACCGTAGTGCTAAACCTGCACTAAGCTTACGCCATAGTGCTAATCCGGATATGACACATAAGGTCGTGCCCACCACCTACACTAGGTTTACACTCTAGTGCTAATCCAGACATGATACATAAGGTCGTATCCTCCTTCCCGCACTTAGTTCCCTTACACACTATAGTGCTATTATAAATGTGCAACTGATATACTCTATGACATGCCAGTTATACCATGTCCCTCAATGACTTGATTGGGCATATAGTCTATTTTATTCAATCCATCCATGTCAAAGTATATTATCGTAATTTAACCTTAGGCATTTCATACCCGAAATAACATTCAGATTTAGAAATTCTAAAACCATTTTGAAACCACCTCAAAAGAAATCAAACCGATTAGATTTGAAGAAGATAATGTTTCAGAGAATTTATGAACCTTAGGGACTATATTGCAAATGTTGAAATCATAATGACCATTTAAAAACATTTATTATTTATTATTAATTAACGGCTTTAACCTACGAGATATCACATTTTTTCAACTATAAGCTCACAGATTTACTCTCTAAGGTTTGATTTTTCAACCAAAAATATGTTACACTGAATAAGCTCCAACCCAAAACATGATTGCACTAAACAAGTTCCAACCTAAAATATGGTTGCAACCTAAAATGTAACATCTCTACCCCGTATACGTTCTCGTATACAAGCTATAGATGTCACATCAATCATATAAAACATATATTGTTCAAAGTCGATATATTTTTATACTATTTATCATATTTAATATCACTATATTAAATAAGTACCAACATTTATATTACAAAACCCTATTTAAAACATATATTAGAGTAGTTAAAATATTTATATTTTACATGCCACTACATATACAAAATATTATAATAGGTATCCTTTTTTATTTAGATGGTAGCTTGATTTTTCCTAGGTAATGTCGAACTGCCTCCTACTTCGCAGTCTTTTCCTTTCATTTCCCTACATGTGAATCAATCACACGCTAAACATTTACTTAGTGAGGCATCAATAAAATTAAATTAAATAAAACAAAACAATATACTAAATATTATATAAAAATTACATATTTAAAAATAAATAAAATAACAATTAAAATGCATAAAAACTAAACTATTCAAAATAATTCACGTAAAACATGTAAGAATAAAACAAGTACTCGAGTAACTCATACTTTCCATATTTAAATCATATAAACTCTTATTAATTCATACTTGTAATTATAATATTAAGTATCTGAGTCTCGTTGAGTGTGCACGCTATATGCACTTAAAAGTGCCTCGTAGAATTGCAACATAGGTGCCATATAAACTCGTATATCATATAGTCACTCCACCTCATGGCATGCCATTTGTACCTCAAACTCTCGAATATACACATTAGGCTTTTATTAAAATTATAACATTCACATGCAAATTCCTTCGAACATATAGCTAAAATAAAATATCAAAAGAGTGTGTTTCATGAAATTCATATTTAAAAGCATCTAAACTCGGTATAATGAAATTATAAAAATATAATTTCTAAGTACGTTAAAAAAATGTTTCTCTTAAATAATCGAGGTCGACTCATCGCAAGTCTTCCTTATCGTATAAATATATAAAATAAGTTCGACGCACTCACCTTTGCCTCACTAGTAAATCTTAGTGTCGGTTTTCTTTCACTCCGGTCCTTTATCTCTTTTTTTTGTTCTATTTGACTTGATTTTCAATCACAATCTTTCAGAGAATTAATTTGTACGACAAATAAAACTTCAAGATATATGTTAGTATCTAACTAACATATAAATATGCATTTACCTAAAAAAAACAACCATAATATATTCGATAATAATTTCTATAATTTAATCAATTATATCTCTTCTCCTCAAATTAATCCCTTCATGATCACTTTCAATCCTAAATTAATCACCATATTCACCATTCTTCACAACTTCCAACTTAGTACTTCAACTTTATATTTTTATCATTTCATCACTAGTCTTTTCCCAAGCCTTCAAATTGATCCTTAATCTCATACCATTTTTGAATTTAACCCCAATTCAATATTCTAACAAAATTTCCAGCACAATACTTAAATTTTCAAAAACTCACATCTTAATCCTTTAATTTCCCAAACTTTGCAAAATAGTCTCATAAACTTAACATTACTTCAACTTGATCCAAAACTTAATTCCAATCACATGAAATCATTCCTACATCCATTCTAAGCCTTATAGAAATTTTTGTATAATTTTTCCTATTTTTCTTCCTTAAGGCCAAAAATTTTAAAAAATATTCTTAATAGTCTCCAACTTTGTTTCAACCTTGATTTCTTCACCTACAACTCATTTCCATTCATTCTAATCATTCTCACATTAAAAACAAATCAAACTCAACAATTTCCCATAAATCCTCTACATAACCAAATCTTCCAAGTTTTTCCCTTAGTGATTTTTAATCAACTTTTAAACTTGTTTCCATAACACTCCTAAAATCAAAATCCAATCTTATTTCATTGATTTATCACCTCCCCTTCAACAACCATAAAACTCCACTTCCAGGGTTTCAAATTGCGGACCGAAAATGTGATAGCGGTCGTGATATTGCGGTAGCGCCGCCATCCGAAATTGGTTTTCATGATTTTTGTGGTGGGTAATAGATTCACACTAATAGCGATCCATCGTGCCCGCAATTTAACATTTAACGATAAATAACGTCGATAACGGGACGCTATCCCCGTTATTCAACTGTGACTTCAAAAAAAAAAGAACAAGCAAGGGAGGCCAAAGAGAAAGAGATGTGCTCAATTGACCAAACTTCGGCCGTGGCCCGTGAGAAAATAAACGATTAAAGAGTGGAGGCCAAAGAAGAAACAGGGGTAGAGATGAGGAGTCAAAAACTAGAGAAAAAATAAAGTATGAAACCACTGCACTGGAGCGGTTGCTTCCTCTATTTTACGTGGATTGAAAAAATCATAGAATAAAAGAGAATTTTGGTTTAATATAATGATCTGGTGAAACCTATTTGATCCATTTGTTTTGGGGAAGGAAAAGAATATGGTGGGATGAAGCAGTGAGAGAATGAGGTAGGAGATGGCTAGAGAAGGCATAGGACTGAATTGCGGTGGTTTGGGTCACTTAACTTTCAATTCTTTTTAATTAGGATAAACTATATAAATCATCACTTAACTTTCTATTCTCTCATATTTTCTCACTGAAATTTAATTTTTTTTAATATACTCATTAAACTTTCAGGTTGCTACTATTTTAGTCACTCCTTAACATTATAATTATAATTATTATGTTTTAGGGTAAATTTTGTGAAATTTTAAAAAAATTCATGACCGCGACACCCCCAGTAAACGTGATGGTATCCGCTATATCTGCAACCACGATAAATGCAATGCGACTGAAAACGCGACCGCGAAAGCTATTTAAATCCCTGCCCATTTCACTCTTTATGCATGAAATCATGCAAAAGTTATACCAAAGGAAAGATAATTTAGTAGAGAACATTTTCTTATTTCACACTTTAGTCCAAATTCGAATTAAAATGGACCAAAATTGAAGAAAACACAAACTTAACTTTTTGGCTATGGAGTCACGACAGTAGCTGAAGAACAGAAGATGAGTTCACGAAAATTCTAAGAAAAAATCTCCCAATTATTAACTTTTAAAACTAATTAAATGAATTTTTATTCCTTTTGGGCCAAAAACCAAAATTACCATTAATGAATTCCCAAAATTACACCCATGTCACTCCTTCATCTCCATTTTAGTATTATTAAATAGTTATAAAATTATCATCTCTCAATTTTTTGACCCTCCAATTTTCCAAAATTTCATTTTAGTCACTAAATTGCACTATTTCACTTTATAGCATTTTTCGTCAAATTCCACCAATCCAACTTAAATTCCACTAATTAAAAATATTCATATAATTTTCCAACCCAATTCTACATTCCTTCAAATTTTTGTAATCTTCTGATTCGATCCGGTTATTCGAATAATATATTGATCATTGTCATTTAATAAACTTGTATGCATACTCCATATCAAAATTCTGAAACCCACTAAACTAATTGTCTTGAGATAAACTACTAATTAACAAATCAAAAATTTAACTTTTGAAAGTTTACATTTTGTCTTTAAACTTTTACAACTTTACACTTTAGTCTCTAAATATTCAAAATTTACATTCTAGTCACCAGTTCAAACTTTGGGATATTATAATTCTCCCCCTCTTTTGAAAATTCATCCTAGAATTTTGTAACAAACTCTTGATACTCAATTGATAACTGTTATTGTAAGCGAATTTTGCCAAAGGCAAATACTTTTCCCAAGATCACTTGAATTCTATCACACACGCCCTTAGCATATCTTCTAAAACTAGAATAGTCCGCTTGGACTGACAATCTGTCTGAGGGTGAACAGTTGTGCTAAAGTTCAATATAGTACCTAAGGCTTCATGTAAAGAATTCCAAAACCTCAAAGTGAACCTTGGTGTTAATGGTAGACCCATTATGAAATACATCGTAACTTTCTCCCATTTCCATTGAGGAATAGAGATCGGTTGTAAAAGTCCTAAAGACACTTGATGTTCAGTTTTCATTTGTTGACAGGTTAAACACTTTGCAACAAACTCTGTAATAGTTATTTTCATGCATGGACACTAATATCGGCTCTTTAAATCTTGATACATCTTGTTCCCTCCTAGATGCAGAGTCAACGTGCTAAAATGTGCTTTAGAAAGTATATTTTTCTTCAACTCTTCATCATTTGGAACACATACTTGGTCTCTATAGTATAAACATCCATCAGACTCTATTTTAAATTCTTTAATTTCACCTCTTTCCATTTGTTTCATTCTCGCTAAACACTTTTCATCTATCCTTTATAACTCCTTTATTTGGTCAATTAACAAAGGCTTTAACTTTAATTCAACAATCAAAGCACCATCTTTCTTTAAAAATAATTGGACATCTAACGCGCGTAAAGCTGAGAAAGTCTTTCTACTTAGTGCATTAACAACCACATTAGCTTTCATTGGGTGATAATCTATTGTGGCATCATAATCTTTAAGGAGCTCTATCAATCTCCTCTGTCTCAAGTTAAACTCCTTTTGAGTTAATAGATACATTAGACTTTTGTGATTAGTGTAACATCCCAAAACTAGAGCAAGTGTCTAAAATAGAAGTTTTAAAAATTTGAAGTCTAATTTTAAAAGATCTAAAAGTTCAGAGACTTAATTAGGAATATTTTGAGGATTATTTGGTAAATATGTAAGGAAGAAAGGGTAAATTGGTCTTTGCAAACAAAAAATTTTATTATCTCTTTATAAAAGAGATAACCACGTGTAAATGAGAAAGAAAATTCTGAAGAGATGGGGTTCAGTTTCTTCTTCTTCCTGTGTCTTCATGTATAAGGTGAGTTGGATTTAATTTGCTTGTTTCTTCAATCCTATGGTTTCTTTTGATTCTCGAGTGATAAGAAAGAGTAAGGGAAGATTTATGGTGACCTAAAACTCCAAAATAAACAAGTTATAAGAGATTAAGTAAAATGACTTTTTAAGTGAATTATTGAAATAGAAGGAGTTAACAGAATTTGAAGTTAAATTTGACTTGTCAAAGGGTTAATTAAGAAGTTAGAGGTGATAGAATTAAATTAAGAACATATGGAAAATTTGATGAAATTCTTTGATTCAATAATTATGGTGAATTATGAGGGATAATGGAGTGTTATAGTGTTATAAGAAGGTTTACATATATATAGATGAGTTTTAAGGAATAAGGAGGGGTTAATAAGTAGAATTTGAGGACAAAGTAAGAATTTTCAGGCTCAAATGGAATTTCTGGGTTGTATGCATCGATGCATCTTCAATGTGTATCGATGCACTCTCAAATAAATGAACATCGAATGCAATTAGTGCATTGATGCATAAGGAGTGCATCGATGCACCCCGTTAAGATTGAAACATCGAAGGTGATTTGTGTACCGATGCATGGGTAGTACATCGATGCATATGTTAAGGGATGTATCGATACACTGTAGAATGTACCGATGCACTTCAAGGGAAAATAGAATTAGACCTTTCTTTTGGTCTAAGAAATGATAGATTAGAATATATCAATTGGATACTGATATATATCAATGTATGATTATATAGATATCGAGCACGAACAAGTTCCGGTAATACTATCAAGTTAAGATTCGATCGAAAGAAAGGAATCATAAATGGGATTAAAACTTAGTGAGGCCAAGGTGAGTGCAATTTAATTTGTGCTTATGCTATAGAAGAATATTGGCTTGCGATGAGCCAGTGACGGAGTTACTATGGTAAGAAGTAACTCTTAAAATGTTATTGTATGTGACATGATTTACATGATTATATGTATATGTAATATGAATTACATGAAATGTATGTATGCTTGATTATATGAGTGTATATGTTAAATAATAGATGTGAGTACATGTTAGTGTGATTGTGAATAGGTAGAAAGAAAACAAGTGATGATATAAGAATCTATTATAAGACATATGATATGAGTTTATATGTGCTATGTGATAAGGATATAGAGAATGAAATGAATACGTGATAATGAGATATGAGAATATACAAGAAAGTCATATGATATAAGATCAATGATTATACGTACATGTGATACGTGACAGAAAATAAGAGATATGTGTTTATAAGAGAAATTATATGAATAATTGATGCGATTATGTGAACTGTCATAAATGATAATGCCCATGTTATTGATATGAGAGATAGTGGTATAGTTGGCATGCCAAGAGTTGAGGGTTACCTATGTCTTTCGAGACATATGGATAGTATACCTATGTTCTAAGGAACATATGAACAGTTTACTTAGGTTCTTCGGGACCTATGGACAGTTACCAAGGTTCTTTATGACCTCTGGATAGGTCCTACGGGACAATTATACGAGCTGTGGTGACAACATAGTGGTGACAACATAGTGGTGACAGCATAATGGTGCACAACCTCAATATACTCACATACCTTAAGTTCTCACATATGTACATGGGCTCACAAAGAGATAACAATAAATATATATATTACATGTAAAGTATATGCTTTTGTAATATGAATTGCATTATATGATTATATGATGATGTGTGTATTGCTTGGTTAAATGAATCATATTTGGATTAAAAGAATAGACATACGAGTATATGATTATAAGACATAAATGATAAGAATATGGATAGTGGAATAAGGTTAGTAATGAAAATTGTGTGAGATATGTATATGTGTATATTACATTGTATGTAATGTTATATTGTTTTGGTATGACATCATGAGATGATGTGTTCCTGCATGTTTAAATAATTAGAGTTCTTTTATAAATATAATGTCTCACTAAGTCATATACTTAGCGTGTGATTGTTTCACACATAGGTTACAAAAAGCGAGAAGAGAAGCGAAGAAGAACAAGACAAGTCAGCATCCCCCTTACAAAATTTCAGATCAGAAAATAGATGATTTAAATGTATTTGGTTATTTTGAATATAGTTGGCATGTACTAATTGATTGAGTTGAATATGCTCTGAATGATTTGTAAAACAATCTGATAGTATTAATTACTGTAAAGTAATTATTTTCTCAAATGAGAAAATTAAGATTTTAGTGTCTTTGTAAAGAACAGAGTTTTGAAAAGTTAATGTGACACCTCGAACTCGGATCCGGGTCGGATACGGGTTGGGGGTGTTACAATTAGTATAAATATAACATCGCTCACCATATAAATAATGACGTCATATCTTCAGTGCAAACATCATCACCCACTAACTCAAGATCATGTGTCGGATAATTTCTTTCATATGGCTTAAGCTGTCTCGAAGCATAGGCTACCACCTTTCTATCTTGCATCAAAACGCATCCCAAACCATTATGAGAAACGTCGTTATAAATCGTATAGTCCTTGCACTAGCACTAGAGCCTCCGTTAGAACCTTATTTAAGGATTCAAAACTCTCTCGGCATTAGTTCGTCCAAATGAATGGTACATCTTCCCTCAACAACTTTGTCAATAGAGAGGCAATCATCGAAAAGTCCTTTACAAATCTTCGATAATATCCAGCTAATCCCAAGAAACTCTGTACTTCAGAAACATTTCTTGGAACTTTCCAATCTATAATAACTTTAATCTTCTGAGGATCCACTCGAATCCCCTCTACAGATACTACATGTCTAAGGAATGCAATCTCTGACAACCAAAATTCACACTTCGATAGCTTAGCATACAACTTTTTGTCCCGAAGTGTCTGGAGAACGATGCGTAAATGAGCATCATGCTCTTCCTTGGTCTTTGAATAAACCAGAATGTCATCAATAAATACAACCACAAACTGATCCAAATATGGCTGGAATACTCGGTTCATAAGATCCATGAATATTGCTGGAGCATTAGTCAAACCAAACGGCATCACTACAAACTCGTAGTGTCCGTACCTAGTCCGAAATGTAATCTTTGGAATATATTCTTCTTTAATCTTTAGGTGATGGTACCTATATCGAAGATCAATATTTAAAAAATATTGCCGCACCTTTTAACTGATCAAACAAATCATCAATCCTTGAAAGAGGACACTTTTTCTTTATAGTCATCATGTTTAGTTGACGGTAGTTTATGTATAATCGCATATATTCATCTTTCTTCTTTACAAACAACACGAGTGCTCCCCAACGTGACATACTCGGCCTGATGAATCCCCGATTCAATAATTCTTGTAATTGAACCTTTAACTCTCTAAGTTCTGTTGGAGCCATACGGTATGGAGCCATCGATATTGGAGTAATACCCAAAAATACTTCAATTTTATAGTCCACCTCTCTATTAGGAGGTATACTGGTAGTTCATCTGAGAAGACATCTGGGTACTCTCTAACAATGAAAATATATTCCAATCTAACTTCAGAAGTTCGAGTTTTCAACTCGTTAGCTAAGAATGTCTGACACCCTTGCAACAACAGTTTCTTAGCAGAAACGAATGATATCACATTAGACAAAGGATTTACTCTCTCTCCGACTACTATCACCTCTATACCTTCTGAGTTTTTTTAGTATTAATCATTTTAGATGACAATCCACTATATCATGGTAAAAAGATAACCAATCCATACCCAAAATTATTCCAAATTCCTCGAAAGGTAACTACATCAATTTTGTACTAATGTACGAGTGTGAAGAGTCAGGGTCAATCAAAACAAGCACATATTCATCAAAGAGATAAAAGGTACCTACAATAATCTCTGGATCATATCGGTCCTCCATAGTCTTGATGTTATATACTCTAGTTGTGGTCCGCCCTCCAGTCTGTGCAGTAGATTCTAACAAAGTAATATGTTTACCTCTGCCTCGACCTCTTTGAGTGTTGCTACAAATTTCTCATAATGCACTAATTTCTCTCCTGACATCAGAGGGAAATCTTGAATATAGTGTCCTGATTCACCGCATCAGAAACAGGCTCATGTGACAACTCTGCATACCCCAGTGTGATTTCTTCCACAAAGTTGATAAGGTAACATCTGACTCTGACTCTATTGTGAAGATTTGCATGCTCTTGCGGCCGCTGACTGAGTTTCTCTTCTTTTTCCAATACTAGTCACCATAGGATTTAAAGTAATGCCCTTAGATCTACCTGGAGGTCTGAATCCATAATCTCGACCCATTTTAGATTAAACAGTAGTATAAGATGTCCCCTATCTTTTTGCTAACTGAAACCTCTGTTCTGAAATTTTTTCATTATGGGCCCTTGAAATGTCGGCAACTCTAACGTCAGCATAAACTCCTTTAAACTTAGACGCATACATTCTGCAAACCACTCGCATCTATCTTTCTCAGTAGAGATCAACTTTGAAGCAAATCTACTTAACTTATTGAATTCACACTCGAACTCATAAATAGTGCATTTGCCTTGCTTTAAATTTAAAAATTGTTGTTTTATTTCCCGAATGAATTGTTTGCCAATATACTTGTTATTAAATTCCCCAAGGAAAAACTACCAAGTGACTTGCTCGGGAGGAACATGCATAATGGTATTTTTCCACCATATCCGGGTTGAACCTCGAAGCAAAGACACTACTCCATCTAATCTCTCATAGTCAGAGCAATGTAATCCATCCAACATTACTTTTACGTCATGCAACCAAAGATCAGCTGTCATTGGACCGTCGTTAGCTTCTTCCTTGAATTCAGGGGCTCCCAGACTCTTTAACTCTTTTGCAATAGACATCGAAGGAGATGGTGGTGTAAGTGGGGGAGGAGGTAGAGGAACAAGTTGATAATGCTGAAGAATAACCTCTAGCGCTTGCAAAAAAAAAATCCCCTGATCAGACACAGGCGCTTCCTGAGATGTCGGAGCTCCTTTGAAATTTTTTCGAGTTGAGTCGAGTCGAACTTTTGAGTTTCTGTTTAAATTTAATTGTAAATATTTATAATATTATGATATTATTTTATTCCAATTTAAATGGTTTTTTATAACCATATAAAATGTATATTTTTCTATATTTTTTCATATATGATATACAAATATTATACAAATTCGAGATACTCGACTCAAACTTAAAAATTAAACCACTAATTACTAAAAATATTATGAAATATTTTTAGAAATTCTTCAAAAAAATAAAAAAATTTCTCATTTTTTCTTAAAAATACGTAATAAAAATCTTAAACCCCAAACCCCTATTTCTAACCCCCCAATCTCAATTGCTATAAACGGTTATTATTTCAAAAATCCCTTGGAACTCATCATGTGAAGGTGACGAGTTCCAATTTGCCCACTGAAATCTGATCGTTGTTGTTACTCATTATCCAACGACTATAAATGGTTAGTTTTTTAAATTTCATGGTAATTCATTTTTTTTTAACTTTTAAATTATTTATTGAATTTTAAAAAATATATTTTCCATGGGAGGCGATGAGTCTCTTGAAATATATTATAATATTAGCTCATGTGGGGTTCATTGACATGAGATTATTAAAAATTATTTTTTAGGCAAACTCATTATATTGACGTGATGAGTTTGTCATGCATTGTGTATTTACCGTAGATTGCAAAATAAATTTCAAAGTGGCTTATATGGCCAATTAATTTTTTGGTCTGATGATCTGATCTAATGGGAAAAAAACCGTGGAACTCTTACAGAGTTGTGTAAATGGGCTTTATGATGACCAAAGAAATGGGCTGTTGAAACCTTTGCTTTTGTCTTGAAGAAGTGGCCGTTGGACCTTGAATTTATTGGGTCTCAGTTTTAATCCAACGTTAATTATTGGGCCCAAATATTTTTTTAAAATACAAAAACAGAACTCTCTGAATGTTATTTTTGTTCAGAATAAAGAATTAACAAACAAAAGGGCAAAAAAATCAATGGCAACACTCATTTTCCTACTTTGGCTGCAGCTTAGGTGGTCCCCATGCTTCGAATTTGGATATATATTTTATCTATGGTACTTTCTACATACAGAGAGATTAAACCAAAAGTCAATTCAACCTATGAAAGTCATGGATAATCCAACAATGCAAACTTTACTTGCAAGCTAATCTTACCACCCTCTTTCACTAGCTTGGCTGCAGTTACCAACCAATGTCCTGGTGCATCATGTGGACCGCGCACTAGCTCCGATATGTCAACATATCTTAGCAGTTTTACGGAGTGAACAGGTATGGGTGGACCATCAGGATATACACCTGAATTAAGGGCAGTTGGAGCCTGCTTTTGTTGTCCGGTGACCGTCCGTTGTGTAAAAGAGAAAGCCGTGCTAAGATTTGTGAGAAAATTGGCCTTACGAGAAGTTTCCGGTGCAGCTGCCCACTCAGTCTTCCTTATAGTGCAGTTGGGTATATGATTGTACATCAGACGGAGATGCAAAACTGTCTTCGGCCACTTTCCTTTGCAAAGGAGCTGTGCACCGGTTACTATAAAAACACCACTTGAAACTTCTTGCAACCAGTTAGGATCATGAGTGACGACAGATGTGCAAACATTCGAGTATCTCTTCCACCTGACCGGCACTAAAAATTGATCACTGGATTTATAGTCGTCTGAGCCTCGCCATCGGCATGGTCTGTCGGTTGTGGATATCATCATATTTGGAAGACTTGAGAGATGTTCCACATGCAATGCTAATCGGTTGCATTTCTTTCCATCCAAGTACAAACGGAGGCCAACAACAGGTTTTAGATCACTTGAAACCTGCAATTGTATGAAATATGTAAACTTGTTTTAATCGTAAAAAGAGAGAACTAGACTGAAATATGGCTGCAAGGAATTTAAAACTTGACAGAACCTTGGAGTGGTCAAGCAATTTAAACTTATATTTCCATACATGCCAACATATACATGTCTACATGGACTAGAAAGGCAAAACTCCATACAGATACGTACATAAAACCAGACAAATTTCACCAAAGCTCCATGTTTAAAAGATCTTTCTTCATATTTTAACTTAAAGGATACTGATGTGTTTTGTACCATACATATGCAAGTCATACTTGCCAATGCCATACTCCTACTGGTTTCAAGTATAACTGCTGCAGTAATATTAAACTTTTAGGATTGCTGACTGTAATTATATTCTGCAATTTTAAATTATATTCTGCATTGCTGACAGTAATGAGTTACTGCATTTCCCCCTTGACTTAAGGAATTATATATTTTGGATCCTACGAGGCTTATGTTTTAATGGTAACGGAAAGCACAATAATGCTGGTGACAAGACCATATGATGAGGAAATTAAATAAACCTGATAAGCAGGCTATTAGAGGATAATGCTTTAATTACCTGCGTACAGCTGACGTGTATCTTAGGGCCCAAGAAAGCGAATTTCAGGGAAGGGAAAGAAGATTTTTTCCTCTGATGCCTAAGAGGCAGCTCGCAGAACATAGGAGCCCATTGTCGTGGAACTTGAAACTCCAAGAAATAACGTAAATCCTCTGGAGCAGGCTTGTCTTCACACAGATTCAGCAAGTTGAAGAAAATTATTATCACATAAAACTAGAAATATAAAAAAGTATATCAAGATTAAATGATCTGTAAAATGATAGTTAAAAATAACAATCCTAAAGTCCTCAAACAGCCAGTAATTACGCCAAATTTTCATTTTTCCTCAGTCTTTTTTTTTTCTTTTTCTTTTTTCTAAGTTGCCTACATTTTATTTCATTTTGTGATAAAGTAAAATGTTAGAACACATTTTTTGCTAAATTCCTTGACATGTCACTCCAGACAACAGGATATGACTCATGTTTTTTCGCAGTGGGGACACAACAGAGGGAAATTCCTTCCCTTGGATCTTGAAGCACTTTCTCCCCAACTAAACAAACCTTAAACTTCAACATCACACAAAATATAAACAATTGCAAAAGTAAGAAATTAACAAACTCTCCAATTGACTTTGAACACACATAAATGTATTTATTTTTTATTTTTATGCTTAGGAAAAATAAGAATTTTAACCAGATCCTAGTCCTACCCCCAAACTGTTGCTCTAGCCAAGTTATGTAGTTAATTTTATTATAAGGGAAGGATTCCAACCATCTTTAAAATCATATTTGAAGCATAAACCTAGAACTGAAGTTATCCCCATAGATTAAGCTCAGCAATTCTTACAACGAAGATACAAGTTGATCGCATGGCTAAGATACCCGCTTCCTGGAATCCCAGTCAGAAGAGAAGTAATTGGAACAAACTTGAACAAAATTCCTTCTGGTTTAGCCGGTACAGTCTGGAGCCAGTTGGAATGACTATGCAAGAACACAGTTCCTCCTCTTTTTGATGAAATGATAGTGAGTCCCTATTAAGGTGAAAATAAATAATTATGGATTTTAATAATTAAAACAAAAATGACGTAGAATAACATTCAAATTCTTGACTCACATCTTTCCGTGATGTTTCTGCAATGCTGGCCAGCTGCAATGAGTTTGACTGCAAAATGTGGTTAAAGACCTCCGGCATCTACAAAATAAATGGAATTTAGAAAACTAAAATTGGTGTTTACAAAAGAAAAAAAGAGCTCTTAAGTTTCAATGACATTTTAATACTTTTTGTTTGCCGTCTCTTGTTTTTCTGGGTAGTAATGAAGGGCTTTTCCCATCTGAAAACATAACATCTCCAAGATCCTCCAAATACCCTCTGAGCTCAGAAGAAGGAACTGTTGAGGAATAGTTCTGTCGGATACATAGCAAATCTTGACCTCCAATAGCCATGCCGACTATCATGTGTGTCCCATATGTTTGTATGAACCTGCCTAATATAATTTGTTAGATATGTACTACACGAAACCAATAATAATGACCCTTAAGATGCCAAGCAACAAAAATTATTCAGGTTCTTCCAAGCATCTAAATTTTGCAAATTTGGATACAGTATTGCATGACAGAAACCTTGATCAGTAGGAAATTTACTCACTCGTATATTTGTATGTGTATATATATGGATTCTCCAACCAACTTAATTTACCATTGGAAAGTGATGAGCTAACCAAAATTTTGGTGATAAACCTCTTAAGCATTCCTGTTTTAGTTTAAACTTCATATATGTTGTCATGAAGAAGAAAGAACACTAAATATGATAAATCATGTAGGACAGCTAGTGGTGGTGGCATACTGTCTGAATGTTAGGTTTCTGAGGACTCCTATCACAGATACAACCTTACAAAAGATGGGAAACTATTACTGAAAAGACAAAGTCAAGGATTTAAAAAGCTATTTTCGGCCTGTACTGGTACTATGAACAGAACTCATCAACTGTTAATTAACGTTAATGTTGGAAGTTAATGGCTACTTTGATCTGAGGTTGGATAGAGCATGGTACACAGAATTCAAACTGAAAGGTTATGGTAGAGGATAGAATGCACCCATGTTAAATCTCGTGATCAATCAAAAGAATTGCACTACTTTGGGAGCAAATCAGTGAGGGAGTAATATTTATAGACCAAAAGTATTTCACGAGAAAGCTGAAAAAGAAGTATAATTTATCTCTTTCATCATCTCTTACTTTATATAGTTATTTATGCTATACTTTTTCAAGCATCAAGCCATATGGTCAACCTAACCAGTTCATAACCACGTTATGAACCAAGAGACGGTTTCTACTTTCTTTTCTTGTTCTATTGCGTGGGGGCATATGGGTAAGGTTCTTAAGCTTATGGAACCTCTCTACGGTTCTTCCGGTGGATTCTAATGTCTTTTTATCTTCTTGGGGAAGTCTAGCTCCAAAATCTACTATATGGAACTTTATTCCGGGTGCTGTCTCGTGGTCAGTATGGAAGTAAAGAAACCAAATGATTTTCGAGAATGGATGTACAGATCGAAAATAGTTGTTTTTTATTTCTAGATATAGAGTGACTGCGTGGTTTTCGGCGAAATTCCCTAATTTTCCAGTTCTCCTAGATTGTCTTGTTGGTGATCCGAAGTTGGTTGATGCAAGCAATCTGTCCATGAGGATTAATCTGTTAAAGGTCTCTTGGTGTCCCCCGCCCTTAGGTTTCTTCAAAATTAATGTGGATGGGGCTGTGACAAGTGATTGGAATAGCAGTGAAAATGGTGGTATATTGAGAAATGAAGAGAGCAAGATTTTGGGTTCTTTTTCGGAACCTACGAGTTCAGGTCCTCCTATACTAGTTGAATTGAAGGCCATTCAAATTAGTTTAGTTTTGTTTGTGGAATCAGAATGGTGTGGTAAGGGTCGGTTAATCATAGAGACCGATTCAGAGATTGCAGTCAAGTGGATTAAGACTCCCGAGGTATGTCCTAATGTGTTCTCACAGCTGGTTAAGGAAATTAGCAGTGATGTATTGGAATATAGTGTTATTATAAGGTCTGTAAGAAGGGTTGTAAGTTGGGAGGCTGACGGTTTGGTTAAGTCGGGTATAGGGTAATTGTTTAGTAATTTTATGTTTGGATGGTGTGTTTGTAGGGTGGGTTGAGATTAAGTAGGTGGGTGGTGTTTTGTAACAGTCTGTTGATGTATGAGGTGTAATTTCTTTATGGAATAAAATTTTTAGGCACTCTTTTCCTCCTTCCAATGTATGCTGAGGTACTTATGTACAACGACGGGTATGAAAGGGTTTTTAATGAGACCTAGTTTCTTATAAAAAAAATAACCACGTTTAATTATGCAGAACCGGTAATATAATTCCTTTAATACAGGCAATACTAATAAAATATACGGTTGGAAATATTCATTCTTCATATTTCTAAAAATCATGCAAACAGTCTCCACATAATCCATACGATTTCTCATTGATATATAATGATCAAAATGCCAAGAAATTGCAAAGCCAGTTCATCGGAAAGATACCTAGACAATGCTGCCGGATCCCAGTGAGATGGAACAGATTTCTTAATGCTATCATGTAGATGCTGTAAGGTGTAAATGGTATAACGAAATAAAGTAACCATCAAAAGCAAGATTTTTGGTGTCTGCAGCATCATGAAGCCAGTCTCCACTCAAATCAAAAATAGTGTTAAGATAGCCTGAAGGAACTTTTCCTTGTATTGAAGACTTCTGATTAAGTAACTCAGACATCTGCACGAGAAGATTTGGGAGCAAAGATAAGGTACAACATTGATACAATATCAATAAATTTATTTAAACCTCTATAAATAATCTTTAGATAGTTTTCACATTAAACCTTGCCTTTAGTTCTTTTTCACTTTCTTCATCATTAAGGTTCGGGTAGAAATCCCTTTGAGATATTTTGACAATTGGAGTTTGAAGTATTTTAGATATCTGACAAATATCAGCTGTTATTATGAACTAGTAGAGTTCCTAGATCATGGAGCAGATATCAGGAACTCATGAATATTTTTCTTTATTTCTGGAATTGAGGTTCACTTCAAGTTTAACTTTTTAATATTTATTCATTGATTATCATAAACTTCAAACTCTGAAGCTTTTCCACTGTAGCAGTCCATAAATGATAATAATCAAAGGGCAACCATCTCCATGCTTATATATAAGAACTTCTACCACTGAATTTTCGCCGTTTTACCTACCATATTTCATTAAGTTCAGCACATCAACACTTGTGAACTCCATTTACAGGAAGATATTCACATAAAACATTACTAACTAGCATCAGATCATTTTTCATCTCATAGCATTCATATTCAAATGGACACATCATAATAAACATCAAAGATAAAATTATTCTTCATTTATATAACAGGAATAACTTTGAGCTCCAAAGAAAAATGCTCTTTAAAACGGGAAAAAAAAGGTGGAAACATTTTATCTCAACTCTACTGAAATTCAAAATCAATATTATTGCTAAAATTATGAACCAACACATAAAAATAAGAATAAAACATGTAAGCAAATTGTTCCTCGTCATCAATCGTCGCCACTAATAGAGAATTAAATAGAGATGAATTCTTGACCGAGCTCTAGACTTTCAACAAGGTTAGTCAACTCAAAATATGCTCATATCCCCTAAGCTTGAAGCTTATTTTAACAACAGAATCCACAGAAAAAAAAAAGGAAAAAAAAACTCGGGTAAAACCGTTTATAAGACATGAAAGGCAATCCTAGAATTCCACCCTTCAATATCACTATTTCTTTCCTTATTGATGTCAAACATCCCAGAAAAAGAAGAGGAACTCCAAATGGTGAAAGTTCCATGAATTTAATCAGATCCTTCCCACCTTCATCACATATATGGTTGTAAAAGAATTGTTAAAGAAAAATCTAATTATCCATACAAATACAACCCAACTTTCCTTTCCAACTTGTGTGTATGTGTGTGTATCTCAAATACAAATCCAATTATGCATGTAACCTAGCTTTGTTTTCCAAGAAACTTTGGAGTTTCAAAAAAGGTGCACTTAGTCAATAGAGTTGAAAATACTAATCTATCCACTTGTAACGAAAGGTACTCCACTTTTATCTCCACCACTTCCAAGGCTGGTTCGCCAGAAACTAATGCTTATAAGTTATAAAACATAAGGCATGGCTCTATTTTCAAAAATATACTTCAAATACATAGTCAAATTTTGTCTACTTATTCAATCCCGCTAATTTCGGCAACTATGGAGTTCGTAGAGTTTAAATTGGACACTTCAGACTGTTACTATGACCGATAGAAGTTTGAAGAGGGGGGGGGGAATTAAGATTTGCGTATCCAAAATAACCTCTCTATTATGATTTTAACACGATATTTGATCGAATAAAAGGTGGAAAAGAAAAGAAAACAGACCTGATTGAATTCAAGAACATCTGATTTGAATCGGATACGATCGCCTTTATCAAGACGAATATCTTGAGGAACGTCTTTGAGAGTAAAAGCACCTGGCAATACAATGTCTCTTTTATTGGTCTCATCAAGCACCACCAACCTCGTTCCTTTAGCATATTTCAACCTGAAATCCCCGCTAATATCAAATCCTTTTCCCAAAGCTTCCATAGCTCTTACCTCAATTGGCTTCTCAGTTTTCTCCATAACCATCCTTTTTCCTCTTCTTTTTTCCTGTATTATCCTAGCTCAAAGCTTTAAACAGCAGCAATTCCTTGAGAATTGGAGCTCCGGGGGTTTTTTCTTTTTTGAAAAAGAAAAGAAAAGGAGAGTATTTGTGCAAAATTTGACAGTCAGCTTCAGCATTGTACGCCACTTTAGATTACCATAAATAAAGACAAACACATGCTCTAGTAGGCATGAAGAGAAAAGATTCTTTTCTAACCTTTATTTTTTTCCAAAAAAAAAAAGGAGAGTGTGTACAAAATTTGACCGTCAGCTTCAGCATTGTACGCCACTTTAGACTACCATAAATAAAGACAAACACATGCTCTAGTAGGCATGAAGAGAAGAAGCTTCTTTTCTAACCTTTTTTTCATGATTTTTTGATGGAATAGTTGAAAATTGATGTGAATATTATTATAATATGATAATTTAAAAACTTCGAGACAGAGGGGGAGGAGATCGCATAGAGCTGAACAAAATATTTTTGGGTAAAGTATAAGTTTAGTACTCCAATTATCACTTCTATTTTATTTTGATCACTCAACTATTTTTAATTTCAAAATTATACTTAATATTATGTTTGGATTGCATTTTGATTTTTGATCAACCACAAGCAACATTTAAAAAAGTAATAGAACTACTGACATGAATTTTTTTAAAATTTTTACGATGATAACATGACATTGCCTTACAGGAACACATCAATACCACCGTTTATTTTTTAATATTGAGAGATTTAAATGAAACTAAAACGTAATATCAAGTATGACTTTGAGATAAATATACTTAAGTGACGAAACAAAATAAAAATTATAGTTGAGGTACTGAATGTGTAGTTTATCCAATAGTTTTTATTTGGTCTTTAATTTATTTTAGGGATTATTAAAAACTATGAAAAATAAATAAATAAATAAATAAAATAAAATAAAAGATTAAATTGAAAATGGGTGGGTTGGGTTGAAAAAGTGGGACTACGTGTTTTTGACATATCCTTACCTAAACTTTTCAAAGTCAACATTTACATGACCTACCTTCTTACATACAGCTAATTTTCTTCAAATAAAATATATAAATTTTCTGATTATAACAATATTAATAAATCATTAAACTATAGAAAATTATAAAATAATTACTAATAATTTTAAATAATTCTAAATTTCATTACAGTTAATATTTTCAATATAATAATAATTTATTTTAATTTAATTCTAATTTTTTAAAAAATAATCTTCAATATTTTAATATATACTAATTTAATTCTTTCCAACGTCTTCCTTTTTTTTTTTTTTTGGTTTACCAAGAAAATCTGGGTTGCAATGAAAAAGATATTTGTTCTTTTCTATTTTATTTTAGTTTCTAATTCCTCCAAGTTCAGTCCAAAGGACGACAAATCGGGGGGTTTTAATTTTGCCCAATACCCCTAGTGGGTAAAATATTTAAAGTATTGTGCCTACCCTCAGTTTATTTAGTAAAATACGATATTTGTTACCGGTTAAATGAAACGTAACGAGTTTCGTGTGATATTATTTTTTAATGGTTCACGCATAATGAGATCATGTGGACTATTATTTTAATGGCATTATAATGACTCGTCATGTAGAGATAACGAGTCCATTAGAAAAATATTTTTTTTAAAAATAAATAATAAAATCAAATAAAAAAATATTTAATGGAACTCGTCGTTGATGTGATGAGTTCCTTCGATCTCAAAATAAATTAGTCGTTGTTTAACGGGCAGAAGGGCAGCAGCATTCACTTGGAACTCGTCACCTCGAGGTGACAAATTCGGCCGGGGATTTCAAAAAAAAACTAGTCATTTATAGTCGTTGGGGTAAGGCTATAAATAGGGGTTTAGGGTTTTTATTTTCACCAAACCCTGAATCCAAAAAATTAAAAAAAAACATGTGTTGTGTAAAAATCCCAAAAAATGGCAACCTGAGAATATATGTTGCAGCTAGATAAAGTCCATATTTCGTCGATCCAACTCGGGTCGAACGACAAATGAAGTATTTGTAGTCGGGGGATGACAACCAGAGAGTCGCATCAACGAATGATAACGTATCTACATCAATCCAATCTATTTCCAGTTATATTTTTACATGGCTTCAAGGTGTACCTTGCGTTGATCGAGGCCCTGATCGAATGTTGGCACCCCGAAATGCACAAGTTTCATTTCCCGAGTGGTGAAGTGTCGATTACTTTGGAAGACGTCGCTTATCGGTGTTCCCGTGAATGGAACCCTCATGGTGAGGCAGAACATGTACGACCCCTCGATGTTGGTCCACCAAGTTCTGGGAAAATGACCACAATCTGACATCATAAGGGACTATCGGTAATGATAATGTGGTTGGAGTTTGAATTCGAAGTGACTGTCGAGTCTATCAAGGTGAAGGTTGTTTTCGCGTCCCGAACATTTCTTCACCAAGTGATTTGAGGGATATTATTACCGGATAAATCCGGTAATATGGTGCACACTCAGTACCTACAAATTTTGGAAGACTTCGATGCGTGTCGTAATACCAGCCGAGGCTCGGCGATTCTAGCATTTCTGTACTGGGAGCTTTGCAAGGCTGCAATTGTAATGTCGGGTCGAAAAGTCGATGTAGTAGGTTGTCTGATACTGCTACAGTCCTAGGCTTGGTATCGTTTCCCTTTTTTACGCTAATTACAGATGCCCCAGCCGAGCTTCTGCTGGCTGGAAGGTAATTGTTTAACTTCATTTATTTAATTTTTTTTAATTTCATAAATTTACTTATTTTTTATTTGTTTATAATAATTTTTTTATTTTTAAATATTTTAGATGACATCATAAAATAACGAGGTGAAGTTGGCGGTGTAACTGCACGAGACATACAGATGAGGATCGACATCCTCGATCGATTCGTGGTATGACAAACAAAATTACAATTTTTTTGAATCTTTTTAACTTTATATATATTAACTTTGATATTTAATATTTACAGTTTTCTTGGATTCCGTATGTCGACGAGGAGATCAAACAAGTATTATCATGCTAATTTCTTGAGGGGTTCCACTTATGGTGTGTCATGATGCCGTTATAGCACAAATCGATTGTTGAGTGGTACGCGACTAATAGAGTGATGCGCCAGTTTGCTGGGCACCAACCGATTCTTAGGTAAATATAGGTTGATATGGACACACTCCATACAATCGGTACCCCTAGAAAACATAATGCAAATTGGCCAACTTGACACGCTTACTACATCGACCTATGGAATCAGCGTGAACTATCGCTCCCCCATCTTCAAGACATTACACCAGTGGACTTAGAATTCGACCATTCTCCCTATCTCCGGCTTTACAAAGAAAATGGCAGACCATATCTCATGACACCGGAAGAGAGGGCAGAATGACAACATCATCAGGCCATACGCACCAAGTCCAAGTCCAAGAAGAAAGCATTATCGTCTTCGTCTTCCGCTTCAGCATCTGCAGCTGAAGAGTACTATTATGCATCTCAAGCTAGTTTCGATTTCTTTCCTCCATTTCATACTT